TCTTGGACAATGAGTATATGAAGCCGAAGCCATTCGCATTTGAAAAGTGCAAGTAGTTTTGTCACTCCAATGACTTTGAAAACTTATTGCATCGCTTTCATCGCTTTTCTCTTCGTTGTAATTGTTTGAGTATATTTCGTTTGAAAGCTGACTAAGAACGGTTTGTTTATTCGAGTCGGAAGCCCTCAAAATTTGATCTCGTCCAACAGAAAGAATCCTTGGATGGCAAAAAGCCTCTGGAGTAATGTCAATAACCTGTATTCCGCCAAGAGATCCAAAAATGGATAGATCCGATTGAAAAGACGCATTTATTTTCGCTTCCGTCAACGTAACAGTTCCAACTTTTCGACCAACACTGAATTTGTCTCTCTTGATGGTGTATAACAATAGAATGTTTAGTCGGAAAAAATCAAAAAATATTTCATTATGATTTTTATGATTAGCTTGATCTTCCAATTCTATTGATACTTCAGTCGATTCTTTTGTTGTTTGCGGGCTTTCACTTTGAAATATATTTTGTGCCAAAAGAGTCCTCTTTGCGAAGTTTAGAATTTCAAGTATAGTATCTTGATTAGCTAAATAATGTGTTGAGAAAATTTATTTTTCTGATGTTGATAAGCTATAAAATATAATTACCAATTATATCCAAACTGTTGAAAGTGATGTTTGTAGTGTGAAGTTGCATTGAATTGCTTTCATTGGGTGGAACAATTTTAATGTCAACTGTAATAAGCGCTGTTGAGTCCTCATCGTCAAAGTACTCTGTTGATTTATCGCCTAAAAAACACATTATCAAATAAGTTTATAATCACTAGTTTGTTGTTGACTTAACATTATTGTTAGGCAAATTAATTGTGAGCAAAAAGGATTGGTTAATTTGCAGATAGATCGCATTTTAAATAATAACATGAAACCTCTTTTTGAATTGTACATACCCATCTTTATATTTTGAACTGCTTTTGTAATCATGTGAGGACTAGTAGCCCTATCAAAAAAATTTGGCGATCCAGGCGAAGTTGGCGAAACAATTGCACTATGTTTAAGGCTGCCAGATAAACTATCCATTCTACAAAATGCAGAAATATTTTTGAAAATAGTTTACATTATATTTTGAATTTTGTGCACATAAAATCATGCATACTAACAAAGTTATTAATAAATTAAATAAAGAAATTAATTAAATGTGGTCTTATTAGGCAAAGCAGCGAAAGGAAAAGCAATCTAATAAGCTATAGCTTATGTTTTTTTTTAAGATTTACATACCCGACATGTCGATGACTAGCCACCAATAACTCAAAATCAGGACCGAAGGACTGAATGGCATCTACTAAGAGCAATCCGTGAACCGACATGGAAATATTCGTCTCATTAGATTCCTTCGTTAATCCAGCCCGTGCCCCGATGATTTGGAGCTCAGCAATACTCCTGTCTGTCGACTGCATTTCTATCACTAGTTGGTCCATTACAAACTCAATGACGACGCGACTCCTGTCGTCCTCTGCCAAGTTCTTGATTCTTTCACTGGCGTACAGCGTATTGCCTCCTCTATAAATGTTTTCCATTTCCTTGGAAGCTTTTATAATGGGTTTCATAATGTTGCAACAATTGTTAATGAGCTCCTCGTTTCCATGGATTAATATTGTTGGACAGGTGCCAAAGAGCATAAATGAGGGATAGTCCGGATCAACAGTGAATATATTCCTCTGCTCAAGAGTAAGATTTATGTTAAACTTATCAATAAGGTGGAAATTAGACGATGTTTTCAGGCAAGCCTGCCATCTTTCTTCGTATTTGCAAACTAGAACTTGAAGGTTTGTGAAATTGATAAGGTATTTGTCGTAGATCTTGTTATGCAGAACGTACTCCAAGTGAACATTTTTGTTCAGAAAGCTTTCCGTTTTTGGATTTTCAAGCAGTGTCGGAGAGTCAGATCCACTTTTCTCTGATGCAGGTGGTGTCGAACACGGAGTCAAATAGGTTTCATCGTCATCGCTTGTATTTTCCGTTACAGCCGATTCTATCACAGGCATAACTCTCTTCACCTCCATTTTTCTCATTTCCAGTTTTCCAAAGTCCAGCAAGACCATGAGCGAATTGCTGACTTTGTAGTTTTCCAAGAAAATTATACGTGGCGCAAAGATTTCGATTTCGAACATCCAAATCTTTCGATTAACCTGAAAGTACAATTTATATTAGCAAATTAAGCGGAACTTGGTTACAATTTAATCACCTCATTGCCACTGAACATTTGATTCCAGTTTTTCATAAAGTCAGTCTTCTTTTCGACTCTATTGCGCGGTGAGTATTTTTTCGGATTTAAATCAGCTAAGAAATCTATAAGCCACTGAATTGCATCCTCATTATAAATAAGATCTAAACTTTTTGATTTAATATTGAGCTGAAATCGTAAGTTATTACAATTTTCATATTGTAGCTGGAACAGGGTGTCCTCCTGAAGTCCATTTTTGGCTACTTGATTTGGTATAGCTGTATTCCCTGTTTGTGGCTTAATTAAGTAATTGTGCATCGTTTCACTACTGGTTTTATCTATTAAATAAACTTCTTGCAACGATATGCCCACAGTGTAAGAAGTTAACTGTGGGCTTAACTGGAGGTAGGCCGCAAAGTTATTTAACTGCATTTCCATCGACTTACTCCTGCCATCACTTAGTTTATCATCGCTCTGAAGAATTACCAATCCTTTGAGTAGCTCGATTGAAAAATGCCCGAACACAGCATCGCTTTTCAATTCCGAAGAGTTCTGAATTGAGTTCTCCAACGCAACGAGTATGTCGTCTTCCAAATGTTTTATGGACTCATCCTGTTCACTATTTGGGGTACTTGGACTGTTTGCATACCAACCCATCCAATTGGGAAACCAATGGAAGAGCATAGTCTTTCCCTGCTCGTTCTGCGATTCAAAGGAGAAACCTTTCGTAAACACTTTTTCAAAGCATATTCTTCTCATTATTGTTAAATCCGAAATCTTTCTATCGCTCTCGATGTAAGCCTTAAACTCTTTATCCGCACTGGAGAGATTTTCATTTGGATTCAAAATGATCGCTTTATAGAGTAGCATGTAACGAAGGTTTTCCTTGAGAATCGACCACTTTTCCTCATTTTGCTTAAAGTCAAAACCATGACAAATGTTTGCATATTTCCACCATAATTTAGGATTGCTTTCTACGCTGCAATTGGGTCGCTTTAGCCTGTATTGCCGAACTTCTTTGACTTGACGGATTTCTGAGAGCTTATCTAACATCTGAAGCCGCTGGACCTGGAAAATATTTAACTATTAGGACCAATTTCTTAATGTCGTGTTAAAGTTCTAGTTTGTAATATGTCATAGAAAGTTAAAATATAGTTTTATTGTATGAAAACACAAATTTGTGTTATCATACGAATGAATAATATGATGGTAAATATACATATGTTATGGAAAATTTATCATGAATTTACAAATTAACAATTTACCTATCCTTAATTTGTATACCCCAATTAGATAAGCAATAAATTGGGTATAAAAATGAAGGATAGGCTAGGTAAAAAGTAAATTATATTTAATGGTAAAATTTATGCATTGTCATACTGTAGTAAAATTTGTATTTACGTCCGTAAAGTACCTAAAGTACATAGTTAGGCATGAACTTTGGACTGAACTAAAACTACTTTTCGTTATCGAAATTACATGACTTTGGCTGATGGATTTTGGGTAAGGAGGCCACAACTCACCTTGGATATGTCTATGACCACCTCGGGAACCAGGAGTTCGCAGGAAACCCTGGGCTTGTCTTTGGTACGTATCACCTGCTGGCACTTGTCGCGTTTCCACCTGGCTGTCGCGCAAATGGGCTTGATGATGAAGTTGTGGGGCCTCAACTCGCAGGTCGAGTGGAGTTTTTCGAGAACCTCCTGGTTGGTGTACGACTGACATTTGATGTCCTCGTGCAACAGATCCCAGTACACGGAGAGCTCTTTGAGCTCCACCAGCTTGTAGTTCATTTCGTTGTTGGTCATTTTGTACGACCCGCTGGTCCAATCACAGTCGCAGCTTTGGGCGGTTAGGGATCCGATCTTGATGCCCGTGCATATCCGGCTCTTACCGGTGTCCACAATGTCTTCGAACCGAAAGTGCACATCGGATATCTTCAGTTCGATGTTGTCGATGATGTTGGTGGCCATGTTGGTGCCGTACTTAAGCCAATTGTTGTACGAAGAGAAGTAGTAGGACTCCATTTGCTTTCCCTTCTCGGACCGCCAGCCCGCTTCGGCGGTGTCCAGAACGGCTAGCTTGTACTCCAGATCCTGCAGCTTCTCCTTCTCGTTGTCCCAGTTCTCCAGGTTCTTCGGGCAGATGATGCAGAACAGTCCCTCGATGGAGATGCACCATGGTGAGGTGCGAAACTGGCGGACTGGAATCTGGAGCTTGATCTTCCGGATGCTGCCGGCGGTGACTTCGACCGGCAAATTGAACGACCGGAGGGCATCTTTGCGAATGGGTATGTTCTCGAGCTCAACTTCGCCTGTAAAGGAGAGTTATATTGATATCGGATGCGGTAAAAAGATAAACAATTATATCACATTACCCGATAGCAGAGCCACTGACAATTGGGCGGAATTCAAGTTCTCCAGATATTTGCCAAGATACGTATTCAACACCCACGTTATGAGGTCTCGTAACATGCTTGTTTATTTACCGCATACGCTAATCCTAGTTAATATTTGTTTGTAATGTCTTTCCTCAGAACCACAACTAAAAACATATGATTGGGGACTGCCTACACCGCATAAATATGGCAGAGTCATAAGTGGAACGCGGAACTGGAACGGGGTGGGGAAAATGAAAAGGGGCTGGGAAAACAGGTGGTTCAAAACCTGAAGAGTAATTTTATATGTTATTTATTAAAAATAAAACGGTCTTTCAAATCTCCTGTCGGGTGTCAAACTTATTAAAGTAAACAAAAAAAATTAATGACTTTTCGGCTTATCGGTCTTGTGCGATATACATTTAGTTCCATCACTAATTCTCGTCAAAAACAAAAAATTAGTTTGTGTTGCAGGTCGTCTGTTTATTTTTAAAAAATGAGCGATCCAAACGTACCAAGAGGAGCGCTAAGCTTGCAGGTTAGTAATATGTTTACGTTTTTATATGCAAATCGTTTTTAACTTTAATTTATTATAGAATGTGCTCAAATATACGGTGCAACATCATGATGAAAATGCCGAGCCAAAATTGAATGAAGCACCAGATGTTGAGGTTTGTAAACATTCCGAGTTTAAAGTATTCAAAGATCATTTAGAATTTATCACAAGCTGATTATTACTCAAGGTTGCTTCCAAAACTTCCAGAATTATTATAAGTGTTTTAAAAGTCTTTTATCTTGTCTCAACCAATGAATCAATCGAATCATCTAGAACTTTTGTGGCCATGTGCTTCTCCAAGGTGGGATTTTTTAATCAGGGGGTATAAAAATATATATTTAAGGTGAATCAACATGAATCATGTTTGGTCAAATTTATTAAAGTAGAATAAAATAATCTTAGATCCTAAATGAAATGAAATGAAATGAATCTCAAAGTATTTTACCTGCATTAGTTCTAAGACACATCTTTCAACTCCTCAAGATAATATTTCTTAATAATCATCATCTCATCTCTTTTTTAGAGAAAGGAATTCTTGGCAAATGCACTGAATGCCATGACAACAGATGCTACAGCGGCTCTGAAAGCAGCTTTGCTCATACTGAATAGTGACGAAGCCAGCACAGAAGACCAAATCGAAAGTCTAGATGCCATAAGGAGCTACATTGACGATATAGATAATGCCATCACCCTGGTAAAATTGGGGGGAACCGCAACTTTACTTCGCTATATAAAGGATTCAGATAGTGAAGTACGAGTCTCGGCACTCAATACAGTTGCTGAAGTGGCACAAAATAATGTATTTTGTCAAAATGCCCTCATAAACGATAAGTTTCTGCCTGTTCTCACAAAAAATTTGAGCAATGCCAATCAAGAAATCGTACGGAGTTCCATTTATGCGATATCATCGTTGGTACGAAACTTTCAGCCGGGATATAATGAGTTCAAGCGAATAAAGGGTATCAGTGCCTTGATACCCTGTCTGAAGTCCACGAACTCAAATGTCTACATAAAGGCTGCATTCCTTATTGCATCTTTAACGTCGGGCGACAAGTCGGTGAGAGGTATGTACAAGTATTTCCGATAATCCTTTATACATTAACCTTACCTTTAACTTCTTTCAGATGACTTTGTGAAAGCAGAGGTATTTCCTGTGCTGGTGGAAAACCTAAAACCCATCGAAGAATTCGATGTCAAGCAAGAAACTACCCTGTTTGCACTATCGTCCCTTTCGTTGGAATCTGATTTAAAACTTTCCACAGAGAAACGCAATGAAATCTTGTCCACTCTCCAGCTTATTATTTCCAAAAACAAACAGACGGAAAATTGCGAAGTAAGACTTTAATACATCTGTTGTTTTTTATCAAATTTCATACCTACTTTATTTACAGGAAATGGTTAACTATGCAAGAAATATAGTGGACAACTTAAATGCACGTTGAGCGTTAAAAGAAATAAATTTTACACGTTAATAGGAAGCTGAATAAAAACTTTTGACAAATCAGAGTGTTTTGAGTGTGGTTTTGAAAAGTATCACTAATTTACAAAACTTGCAGGGAAACACATTCTCGTGTTTTTTTGTAATTTTGTAACAATTTATTAATTTCCATTTGTCAGTTATGTTGGCGATGTGTCAAAGTCATCTCCAACCGAAACAATGGGAACGTGTTCCAAGTTTACTTCAGTCGGGTTGTCGCAAAGCCTATTTCGTTTTGCGAATATATTCCAGTCCATGACCTGAACGGCATGCAGGCTTTCCGCCTCGTTATGATGCCGCAGCACCATGGATTCCTGGGAAACAGTAAAAAGTTAGTAATGTCATCGAGCATGAATTGGAAAAGTAAACTTACCTTGATTTTCTCCCACTTGTCATCGACATCTTGCAACCAGCTGAGTAGCAATCGTCCATTAAATCGGCAGCGAGCACTCTTTTCCTTTTCGTCCTGCTCTGGGGTGATCAAGTTGTAGACCTCATCGTCCTTTAGGTATGTGCAAACGGAATAGGGCGCCGGTTGGCCAGATATACTCCTGGCAGCCTTCGAGTGCACTCGTATTATCTCCTGCTCAACGTTCATGCACAGTTTTTCCCGCTCAACGGTGTGGGCTTGGATTAGATCTTGCCTGGCCTTCTCCTGATCCTGATAGAATCCCTCCATTGCCTGCGGCACAGTGCGGGGAATGTCCGGAGCTAAAGTTTTCGCATTGCGCCTTAATAAGTACGATTTCTTGGTTAGCAGATACTCGTTGTATCCCTGGGGAGGTCTTGGCTTCACCGGATACAGGCTCTTCCACTTTTTCTCGATCTGACGACGGATGCTCAAGAACATCTGGAAGCCATTGGTGAAGGGATGATCATGCGGGTGAGATTCTTCGGAATTCACACCGGAATCGGCGGCATTTGAGTTCTTCGAACTATCATCGGTATTCTTGGGCCGTATCTTTCGCTTCCGCGGATGAAGCTCCACGTTCGAGGAGGGATTTATCTCCTTGGACGAGGATGTTGACGACGTTGAGGGGCTCGGAACATTGGTGATTGTCTCCTGGTCAAACTGGTGGCCCTGTGGGATTGGACTTGAAGTCATGTTGCCGTAGGATAGCTTCACATCCGCAGGATCGTTGGCATGATTGGATGACGCCGGCGACGGAGAGCTGCTCTGCATTTGCGGGGAGGAGTTGTTGGAACTGCGCTCCACACTAGTGACCCCAGTGCGATGAGAGCTGCGCAGGACCCTCAGGTTCTTTTCGTCATTGAAGAGCTTTATGTTCTTGTCGTCCAGGACTGTGGAGCAAATGCTGTTGCTTTTCTGGGGACTCTCGTGCGGGCTAATTGATTGGTTGGTTATGACGGTGTCGATGGAATCGCTGTTGGAGCTGACCACATAGGGCAGGGCGGCATTGCGCGAGGCAGTCACCTTGCCGGTTCTCAACACATTGCCCTCAGTGTCGATGGAGCAGTTCTGTTGCGGGATCACAATCTTCAGTGGCGGCACCTTGAGTCCTCCGTTGTACAAACTGTCGTTGCTCTTGTAATCATCGCTGCACTCCGTTTCGTTTTCAATGTCCACATTCTTGCTGATCTCCACCTGCTCCTTGTCGGCATTCGAGGCGCTGCTTTTGTTACCCGACGGAGATCCCTTCGTCGCCGCTAGCTTGGAACCCTTTTCCACCCTGGAGGAGAGCTTTAGGGAGGCCCCCTTCAAGTCCTTGCCATGCTCTGAGTCCTTGCGCTTCTTTTTCTTCACGTCCTCGCCAGATTCCTCGTAATCGTCCTCTATGTCCGAGTAACAACGCTTGGCAGCCGAAGTTCCCTGATGAGTCGAATCGCTGTTTTTACCATCGTTGCTGCTTTCCTCCGCCGAAGATTTGTCTTTAGTGTCCAGGACCTCTTGCTTCTCGTTCAGGCTGCTCTCGTCGTTTTCTGTGTCTCCTTTCTTGCATTCATTCTTCTTAAGATTGGTGCGGGATGAATCTGGAAGATCGAGAATCTTATACAATACATTTGACGGCTGAGTGATTGAGCTTCGAATAATATATATAAAAGGTTAAGTATGATAAATTAAAAATTATTTTCTAAAAATATGTTTACCGCAAAAAATTGTTTTGAAATAGTAATTAATAAGTCCATAGTAATATATTTTTAAGACTTCTGTATCTCATTTCAGTTACCAAACTACATTTAAATATGCATATTATTTAAAAACTACAATAAAGTTCACACATTATTTGACGTTACAAAACTGAAACCTTTTTTCAGATATTTTTACTTTACTTTGTTGTTACTTTACTTGCGTAGAGAATCAGATACATTTATGTATGTATGTAGAAAGGTATGTGGTACTACGTATGTATGTATGTAAATATGTAAGAAGCGAGGTACCCACTTATAAATTGCAACCTAAACTCTTTTATTAACTAATCTAAGCATTTATATAGCAAGTAATGCTAACTATACGTTTAACTGGCCTTAAATCACAACGAAAACAATGTCTTTTAACATTTTTGTATATTTACCTGTCGAGGAGGTAGCTGTCATCTGGATAAGTAAAGCCATTTGTTGCCTCTCCGACATCGGCGTATTTGAGTTCGATCTGGGTTGGGTAGCTCCTGTATTAAATCCTATCCCCTTCGGTCTTGGGGGTGGCATACTCTTTTGTTCAGTTTTATACGGTAAAAATTAAAATATAGAACAAAAACGGAGACTTGAAAAAGTCTTACAAAATTTAATACAAAAAGAATGGTGCGACCGTATCTCGAATGCAAAAATATGCCGGCTTGCGAATATATTATTATCATTAAACAAAAATCGATGTTTTTAACAAGTTCGTTAAATTTAAATACTTTTCTGATAAATTTGTTATATATGTTATTTAAAAAAAGTTTTGTTCTGTCAATCAAAAAAATCAATACCTACTCTTTTCGATCATTTTGTTGCAATCATCATTTTCTTGCAACCAATTATTTGGGAACTTGTGTTTTGTGCGTTGGTATACATACATATTGCTCTTTATTTTAATTTATCATTTATAATTATATTGTGTTTTATTCACGTCCGTTAAGGTTTTTTGTTTATTCAATGGTAGTTATTTATTTAGTTTGTGTTTCGATTCCACTCCGTACTACCCTTAGCAGTATGACCTCTTCGCAAACACATTAAAATAATGAACCGAGTCCAAGATATCCAAACGCCCCTGCTACGGTCACACTCGGATTTATTTTAGAAGTATTGCAGTGTAAGTTATTTTTGTTCAAAAGTTTGTTAAATTTTGATTATTTAAGATCTTAGTAAAGTAATTACTTCTGGTAGCAAGCCAGAATAGTGAAGGGCAATTCAAACAAACTCACACAGGTAGTCGTAACTTGAGATTTAAAGTTATATTCTATTAACGCACACATAAACACATGTACTTGTACATATGTGTGTATGTTGCAAGTAAATATAATACCACTTGAAGAAAAGTTAGTGCTGGAAAATATGATCCATTTTACATATGTAAATAATTAAGCCCCTTGGAAAAGTGAAATACTTGCATCTCGTGTGGCGAAAACAATCTCAGATTGTAAGCGCATTTAACACTGACTTCATTATTGTGCCAAATTATTATGACGAATATGGAAGCGAATGTCTAATGCACTGAAACGTTATGTTTATGTGTTAATGGATTCAATGTACATAAAGTGACTCACTTTCTTAATACACTTGGATAAAGCGTTGTAAACTTATTTGTATTTTTGTTACGCACTGTTTGTTGGAGCTTTTCCGGCAGAGTGAAGCAGAAACTTTCTTGATCTTGATAAGGAATCAAATCAAGTAATTCCGTCATGATCGCCTCACAATCTCTTTTTACGCAATCTAGATTTCCAATTCAAAAGGCGTATGACGAGAGATAATGGAAAGACTATAAAATAATATCAATATCTAGTGGCAAACTATTTTTGTGATCATATGTCTTTTAAGTATATGAGGGTATTAATAGTTTCGGTCTGTAAAGATCATAATTCCCTACTGTTGATGTAAGCAAATATTTTTTGCTTTTCGTTTTTATTTATTGCATGACGCCAAGTGTAATTAACTTTCGCCCATAAACATTGGTATTGTAAACGATTTAATTAGCCATTAATACTTTTTAAAGAGGTGACATGTTTATATAAATTGTACCGGCTATGTTGATAAATAAAAGAAAGAAAAGTCTTAGAAGGACATATTCGATATAAATCGAATACATTTCCGCCCTTAATTCCACTTGAAAATCCTACACACCGAATTCCAATTGGTCAAATAATAAGTACTTATTGGATTATGTTTTTGTGTTAAAAGGTGTTTAGAAGATCAATTCCTTAAAATTTTTATAAATTCCTGAGCGTGTCATTGTTGTTATCGTTAAACGAATATAATAAAAAAGGGATATTCGATTTTCAACCCTCTTTTTTAACAAGCATGCGCATTACAAATTTTTTTTTTCATCGTATTGATTAACGCAGCTTGAATCATTTTATATACGGTTAAAATGATTGTCTCCAAAGCTATAAAATCATACAGGCTGTAAAACACATTTAAAACATAGATTTATCGCTTTTAATTTAATAATCATTCACATAAGTACACTTTAAGATTGGAAAAGATTAGAGACAGCCTTTATTAATCCGGTTTTCGTATATGTTTTGCAGACAGAAAATCGAGAAAATCGGCAAAATGACGCAAATGTCGCAGGACGAAATAATAACCAACACAAAAACAGTGCTCCAAGGCCTCGAAGCCTTGCGAGTGGAGCATGTTTCGATTATGAACGGAATCGCAGAGGTCCAGAAGGACAACGAAAAGTCGGACATGCTGCGGAAGAACATCGAGAACATCGAACTGGGTCTGAGCGAGGCCCAGGTGATGATGGCCCTGACATCCCATCTGCAGAACATCGAGGCCGAGAAGCAGAAGCTCAAGACACAGGTGCGCCGCCTCCACCAGGAGAACGCCTGGCTCCGCGACGAGCTGGCCAACACGCAGCAAAAGTTCCAGGCCTCCGAGCAGCTCGTCGCCCAGTTGGAGGAGGAGAAGAAGCACCTGGAGTTCATGGCCTCCGTGAAGAAGTACGACGAGAATCAGGAGCAGGACGACACATGCGAGAAGTCGCGCACCGACCCGGTGGTGGAGCTCTTCCCCGATGAGGAAAACGATGACAGAAACAACATGTCGCCCACTCCGCCCAGCCAGTTCGCCAACCAGACTTCCGGCTACGAGATTCCAGCTCGTCTGCGCACTCTGCACAACCTGGTCATTCAGTATGCATCGCAGGGCAGGTACGAAAACGTTTTTTCAAGTTGAATCAATAAATATAAATACTATTAAATCCTCCCATAAGCTCTAACCTTTTTAAAACGATTTTTAAGGCTTTAAAAAAGACTACTGAATTTATTATTCTCTATTACTACTACTTCTACTATTGCTATTAATATCTATATTTCTTCAAATATCTACAACTCTCTCAATTTAATATTTTTCCAGGTACGAAGTAGCTGTTCCCCTGTGCAAACAAGCTTTGGAAGATCTCGAAAAGACCAGTGGTCACGACCATCCGGATGTAGCAACAATGCTGAACATTCTGGCTCTCGTGTATCGTGATCAGGTACGTATTTGCTTTAATTAACTCAATTTATGCGTTTATTAATTAGAAACACTTAATGCCATTCAGAACAAGTATAAAGAGGCCGCCAATTTACTGAACGACGCTCTGTCGATTCGAGGAAAGACACTGGGCGAGAACCATCCAGCCGTGGCGGCCACGTTGAACAATTTGGCCGTCCTCTATGGCAAACGGGGCAAGTACAAAGATGCCGAGCCCCTCTGCAAGCGTGCCTTGGAGATCCGCGAGAAGGTCCTGGGAAAGGATCACCCCGACGTTGCCAAGCAACTCAACAATCTCGCCTTGCTCTGCCAGAATCAGGGTAAGTATGACGAGGTTGAGAAGTACTACCAGCGAGCCCTCGACATCTACGAATCCAAGCTGGGACCCGATGATCCCAATGTGGCCAAGACTAAGAACAATCTGGCTGGCTGCTATCTGAAGCAGGGAAGATATACCGAGGCTGAGCTCCTCTATAAGCAGGTCTTGACGCGAGCCCACGAACGTGAGTTCGGAGCCATCGACAGTAAAAACAAGACCATTTGGCAGGTAATATCTGTGTATACTAAGTTACCGAGTGAACTCTACAAAGTAACGTTGATTTTCAGGTGGCTGAGGAGCGTGAGGAGCACAAATTTGATAACAGGGAGAACACCCCGTATGGCGAATACGGCGGATGGCACAAGGCGGCTAAAGTGGATTCCCCCACGGTCACAACCACTCTAAAAAATCTGGGAGCACTTTACCGGCGGCAAGGCATGTTCGAAGCTGCCGAAACCCTCGAAGACTGTGCAATGCGGAGTAAAAAAGAAGCCTACGATCTAGCTAAACAAACAAAGGTCTCACAACTGCTAACATCAAACGAAAAGCGACGATCGAAGGCAATTAAAGAGGATATGGATTTCTCCGAGGAGGTAAGATTACAAACCATGAAAGCTAACTGCCAGCTATAATGTAACTATCTATTGTTGCAGAAAAATGCGAAACCATGAAATATTATTTGTTCATCGCCCACAACGGAATCTTTATGTTTATGATTGAAAGTTAACAACAAACACACACTTTATTTATTCATTCCTTAATATACATAAGCTCTCAAGCATACATTAGCAAATAAACAACGTTTTATACCTTGTTATTTCGTCAAAAAATATGTACCGCTTTTAATAATAAACCAAATATATTTAACGGAATTGTGTTTACTCTATTAAGTGGTAGTACAATCACCCGGAAACAGAGCCCGTTTACAATTGGAAAAAGGTATTGATACCATGGAATCAACTTAACATTTATTAATAGTAACAAACAGTATAATAAGTTTGCTAATCGCTATCATTGTCATTTAAAATCGAGGAAACAATTCCAGCAAACTGCTCTGCTCTATCCAGAAATTGCTCTCGAGTTAGGCTCGTATCGTTACGTAAACTTTGCGCAGTAATCAGTAAGTTTTCAAAGTCTTTCAACTGACTATCCAATTCGTCCGAGCTTAGTTCATCTTTGTGTTCTGAATATAGAATTTATCATATTAATTATTTTGTTAATTAGTGAAAATAGTTTTACGTACCGGAACCAAATTTAACATTAGACCAAACAACATTTTTTAAACCCTCCACAACTTCTTCGTAGTCCTTCTCCGGTTCATCTGAATTACTTTCCACATTGCTCTTTAACGTTATAATGTCGAAAAAGAAATTTGTTCGCTCTTTTATCTCGCCGAAGGATAGACCACTTTCTTCTCCTGAAGTCGGAGACGTTATAAGAAATCCCAACTGGATCTGTTCATTTTTGGATAATGTCTTGGGAATAGTGTCGATAAAGGAAGTCTGCAAGTAAACACATTTATTAGAATACCTAATGTTATAAGTTTACATAATAAATACTTGCATCGTTTGAGTCAAAGTAAATTATTAAAGCCTCAGTAGAACTCAGAATTTTCTCCGGAACATTTTCCAATTTTCCAGAGAAAGGAACTAAATTGATTGATGTGTTATAGTACTTGGTTTTAATAATGCATTTATAGCAATTCAGTGAACATTCTGTTGAAGTTGATTCTTTTGGTTGATCCAATTCGGAGAAAATGTCTGGAACAAAACAATGTTTATTTAATGGTAATGTTAAAATATAAGCAAGGTTTACTTTTTTAGAAAAGTAATTTTCCTATTTCGGAGACCCTAATTGTCTCAAAAGTCAGTTTTTAAAGTTGCTCCCATTCATTAAATGTGAAAAACATTCAAAATAGGTACATTTAATTACCACGTTTCGGAAAACTTTTCATAAGCCGTATTACTCACAAATTGTAATTAATTTAAATTTTAATTAATGTTTTAAAAGCAAATAAACAAAACCACAACAACGTGAGAATTTTATACCACCAAAACAAGGGAATACTAATTAACGTTCGTGTCTTATTTAGTAAACTATTCATACTTTCAACAATTTCCATTGGAGTTGTTGCTCCATAAGATAAAACTAAAACGACTGGATCCATTTTATTATAGTTTCTTTATTTATTTCAGTCGACGAAAACAAAAGCTAAACACCAGTGTGACCAAATCCTAACAACAGAAAGTTCCCTTTTGGCCACAATGAAAAAAGCATAGATTTCCTTAAGCAATTTTTTTTTAAATTCTGTTATTTTTTTCGTTACACTTTAATTTGTTTCCAGTTAGAGCTTCTTTTAATACTTCAAAATTCATATAATTGTTTTTTAATAAACTAGGCACCATCCCAGAAAACAACCCCAATTAATTAAACTCTTTGTTTATGGCAACATATTGTTTATTATGTTTTTATTTTCTAGCTTATTATTACTGAATATTTTTTTCATATTTGTTTAGCAACTGCTGATAGGTTATATCACATTTCAAACTTTCGCCAGCGTCATTTTCATAGATCTTCTTGGCCCTGTCGAAGGCCTCTATTATGCAAGATCTAAAAAAAAATTAAATAGTTTTACTAATAAATATCACAACAGAGCCAAAAGTATACCAACCTAAAGAGTTTCTGGTGGAGAACATAGGCGCTTACATGACCAGCATCCAAATATCGTATCTCTGCTCCCGGCCAGATGTCCTCGAGACTGGAACATCCCTCCCGCGGAACGTAGGCATCGTCCTTCGCACACACCGCAATTATCAGGGAGGTGTCGAAGGGAACCGAAAAGTTCTTCAGATGGGTGCACTCATCCATCATGCCACGCATGAATTGCAAGGCCTCCCGTTCCCACCAATTCGTCTTGGTAATATCTATTTTATCCGATTTGTTTTGCGAGGAAAGGGGCAGAATGAATTTCATAAGGTTCGTCAACGCTGAGCTCGAATCCTTGGAGGGTTCTGCTGTTGCGATCGCAACCTTTTCACTCAGCGTGTCCTTAATATCTATTGTTACATTTTCAGAGTCCATTTTCGTGCTCTTTAAAGACTTGGATAAAAATATCGAACTATCTTCTTGGGAGCAACTTCCCTGACTCTCATATTTGTCGCCACATGTATTGCTGTTTCCACGCTCCTGAATTTTTCTCGTATCACTAATGTCTTCTTTCAGTTCGTGCAGGGATTGGTTGAAGTTTTGAATAAAACTTTGGCCTGCTGAAAAGGCGTCGTCTATTACTGTTACCATTTTGGATAGGCGTTCTCTATACTGTCCATCAGAGAAATATTGCGTTTCCAACATATCCCAATTAATGGATTGACTCATTACACCCTGGAAACAATCATGGAATAAAATTAAAATTAAATGACTTTTTTTTCTATATTATAACAACACTTACGGTGGTAAAGACAGCAGAGGCGGTGGACCAAGATAGGCATGGCACAAGAACCAAGGGCTTTGGCCAATTTGTAGCTGCTAATGAAGCCATCTGAAAAACAAAAAATTGGTAAAAAGATAACTCTATAGAGTTCGTAAATTTTAACTTACATGTCCACCCATTGACAATCCAGTAACGCCAAGAGGACCGAAGCCATTCCTTTCGCACCAGTGCAACAGGACAAGGCATTCAAGAATCAGGCACCCACCCATCACGAAGATATCAGACACATTATGCAGATTTGATCGCCTAATTAAAAATATACATATATTATTATTTTACAAAATGCTAGCTAAAGCAAACGGACTTACGTTTGGTTATTTGGTTTTCTTAAACCATAAAATGGATTTTCAAGTATTATGGATCCTATATTGGCGTCCTTCAAAAGGGGTTTTGCTATAAAATTTCTTCGACGCCAAAAGAACTGCAATATTATAAAAGTTTAGTTAGTAGAATTAAAAATTAAATTTTGTTTAAATGATTGTTGAAAATGATCCCAAACAAAATTATTTCTATGGATTTCCTGAGGAATTCAGCAGGGGTAAACCAAAAGATCATGAATCGAAATAATGGGCAAAACAGTAGAAGAAATTAAAGGTATAAATGAGCACGCAAAGGGAAACTACATAAATAACTTAGTCTTTAAATAAAATTCCCATAGAAATCACTTCAGAGATATTATGACAAAACTGAAAAGGTTTTCTTTGAGGAACCCACTTTTGGCAAAATGTTGGGTAGGCCGATCGTTTGGCGTCCGGCCTCTATCGAAAGTAAACAGACATTATTTCCAGATTTAAACCACGGATGTATCGGTTTTACTCACATGATCACCAGTTCCAGCCAAATGAATGCACACCGGCTTGTGCCTTTCATTTTTCCACTTGTTCGGGATCAACAATTGAAAATGTGCCTGCTGGGATTCTTTTGGAACCACTCCGGGTAAGTGTAACTCAAGGGGGGTTTTAAATTTGCCTTGTATCAGTGTGCTTTCTGCAGAAATTTCTTTTGTCGTGATCTCCACTGGATAATCACGGGGTACGAGCTTGAAACACAAATCCCTATTGGATATTATTTTGCGGAACTGAAACAATCTAAAAAATTGTCATAAAGCAAAGACAATTAATAAAAGTAAAGTTAATAGATGAACTCTAATGGTGTAAATAATGAAATGATCTTGCATACACAATCTAGAATTATAAGCAATTTTTGGGAAAAAAATTGATTGAACTTCAGAAATCTTCCAATTTGAATGACAGCTTTTAGTTATGATCGCATGTAAGTTAATGAAAGCAACCTAAAAACCTTTATAAAATCAATCATTAGCAATCGGCAATTTGTTGGTTTATCCTCACTTTTGAAGAGATATTTTTCCCACTAACCTGTGTGTGAGAACAAAAAATTGCTGTCATATCCACTGGAAATTATCCAGTGTCCACTGGCAGAAGGGAACTGGAAAGTAAATTAACAATTGCATAGTAAAACCACTAAATAAACAATATTCTTCCCGTTCGTATATCACTAAAATGACTTTAACATAAATACCACCTCTTTGTTGATGATAAAATATAAAACAAAATACTTTTCTGAATGTAATAACAGAATATAGGTTAACACCTGAAGTTCAATTAATTACCGAATTATATTCCAGATAGTAATTTGTTATGATTAGTAATAGTCAATGCTCATGCCATTAAATATTCCACTTTTTATTGACCTTAATTAAAGATTATTTATGTATGTATATGATGGTTTCCTTCGGCTATTTATACTTTTGAAAGTTATCAATGGTGAATGAGATTAGATTTAAATTGGTAGTTTTTAAGCTAGTTAACACCTTAGTATGAGCCGTGGAGCTTCGATAGATCTTGAATATATTATTTTGCTTAGCTTATTTATGAAATCGAGGGACACCGGTTGCAGAAAGTTATCAGTGTTTACTTGAAATAAAACTACCCATAATATCATATCTTTTAAACTAAGCCAACAAGGCATACATTTTTAAACAGGCACATGCGGGAGTACAGATTCTTTTTATATAATTAAATTAGCCCCAGAGAAAAACCAGAACCAGATCAAAATTTTAATAGTATTACGTAAATTAATTGAATGGGGGCGCAACCAATTTTCATGATTATCTTATGATAATTAAACACTTACCTGCGCAAGTTTTCAGGCGTCCCCCATCCCTTCTCGAAGAACCTCGTTATCAGCATACGGCGATACAGACTATCTAGTTTACTGGGCATATTTCGCAGATTCTTGTTTTGCCTAAATGAAAATAAACAATTCGCCCGATAGAGATGGTAAAGCCGTCTAAAGCACTATCGATAATTTTTTGGAGAAGAAACATCCATGGTGATAAGACTTGGCAATTTAAAATTTTTTAATATTTTTTACAACCAGAAATTTGATTACTAAAATAAAATAATTACAAACATTGGTTTTGATTTTTATGTCAGGCTAGTGTCACAATTTTTCGTTGACTTGGAATGCTGAAAAGTGGAACAACGGGAATTTAAGTTTGTTCTTTATTTATTTGAATTAAAAAAAATGTTTATTAAATTGCCTTCCCCGGAAAATCAGCTATTATGTGCAATTTTCTATTTTATTGAATATTATGAAAAATAGAAAAATATAAAAACGCATTAAAATTATATAGAGAAATACTTAAAATAAAAAAATTAAATACTACCCAGCCCGACCATAAAATCCGACTACGATTAAGAGTTCAATTCAGTCAAGCTCATAAAAAAGTACAATTCTTATTCTCAGTTTTTATTACATTGTATCTTATAAAATATGTTACTTATTTTCCTTTGGTAGTTTTATCAATACGATACGTATACACTACATTTATATTTGTATGTATATTATGTTTCGGGCAAACCTAATTCGTTAAAAAAATTACATTTGCCCTTGTAAATACTTTATTAAAAGATTTTATAAATATACAAATAATTTATCATAGCACATTATGCATTGATGTTCCAACACGTGCATTATGTACTCGTATATACATAACTAACTTAATCCAATGTTGACTCGGCTATGTGATGTAAATCTGAATAATTAATTATTGCGCGATGTAGGAACTCGTATTGTGCCTAAAGAGGAAAAGAAAAGGATTAATTATTTAAAGAGAAAATACGAATATAAAGTCAACATACGTATGAGTTGATAAGTCCCGTTCGCTGAGATCGTAATTTCCTTGTTGTGGCACAGATGTCGACACACTTTTCCAATCTAAGATGCTGGACCAAGATGCACATTGCGACGAAAATAGAACTTCGATCAGTGCCCAGGCTGCAAAATAGTTTTTATTAGTGTTTAGTCCATAAGTTATAAAATAAAACCTATATTTAAATACCTGCAATGAACTGTGAGTGGAGATCGACAACCAGAATTCTTGTTGTTCTTGTAATGGTTGTAGGCTTGATCTACAAGTTCAATAATGCCCCGACAGACTTCAGGAACTTCTCCGTCCACGGTTGGCCAACCATTGTATTGAAACTGTGTGACTTTCAGCGTGTCATCTATTTTGCAATTCGTTACATAAAATTCGCGGCGAGTGTAATATGGACAACTTTCGCTGTGCACATATTTCACAAGTATGTGGTCGTACTGAACTTCATCATCTGCCCAATATCTCGGGCATTTTCTGGCACCATCTCCGATCTGCAAATAAATTGGAAAATTCAGTTGCCACCAGAGAATCAGTGATGGAATTCAAGCAATACTTACTTCAGATATCATTACCAAGGTGGTAACACTTTGTTCCGAGATCATCCTCCAGAAATCACCAATGGTGTTCTCAAGTGGATCTTGGGCAATAATAAAGGTCTCGCTATTATCATAGCCCTCTATGAATGATGCGTTAATATAGGTCGAGTTATCCCGCATTGGAAGTGGCGTCAGTATTACCTAGAATTTCATATTAATATGGAAACGCATTAAAAACTATGTACATAAAAGTAAACCACAATAACTCACTCTGTTACGATCGTAGGGAATAATCTCTTGACTCCTGTTTTTCATATTGTTTTCCTCGTTTTCGCCCACACAACACGATTTACTAATCTCATCCGCTGTGGCCAGTAGTTTCTGGATCGAATAATAATAAATACAATGTGAGGAAGTGGAGATTTCATTTCATACAAACCTCGAATTCCATTTCCAATTTGCATTTACCCTCATTGGGCTTGCGCTTGAGTGACTCAATAGCAGATGTCATAGTATCAATGCAAATGTCCGTGTTACCAAAAGTTCCAGTATCTAATAAAGCCCGATAAAGGAAGATGTATTGTTTCTAGAAGATAAAAATGAAGGTTAGCTTTAGCTCAGACGCACTGATCGATCGTTCTTCACTCACCAAAGATTGGACTAAAAAATTTCGTTGGTGCCGTAAATCACAAACTGTGTTGTAAATAGACACCGAGTCTTCTTCCTCCAGTTGTTGGATGAGGGAGTCTAAAGCCACCAGGGTTCCGGTTCTACCGACACCAGCACTACAGTGAACTAAAATTGGGCCCCTTTGCAGGGAGTAGACGGAATTGATTTGACGTATGAATTTGATGATGCCGTGTGGATGCTCCGGTGCCATAAAGTCCTTCCACGTTAAATAGTGGTATTGTGTGATTTGTCTACGATCCTCCTCCTCGCCCACATTGGCTTTGTTCTTCGAAACGTTTAGGGTTCGTTCAATATAATCTCCAGTCTTTCGTTCTTGTGCAAATTTCACTATAATATCTCCAAACTGCTTTGTATCAAATACTTTTTCTGGCCAATATTTAGCGCACTTGGCCTTGTTATATTCCTCCAAATTGGTAAGCATCACAATTATTTCCAAATGTTGTTCCCAAATCATTCGCCAAAAATCGTCGATGGTACTTTCCATTGGACCCTGCGCACAAATAAACTTTTTCCTCTCCTTGTATCCAATTACGAAGTTAGCATTAATATAATCCGCAGTCTGTAGTCCATTTAAGACAGCTAACTTTACGCGCGTTTGATCGTAAGCTTTAATATCGGGATACCTGTTTTTGCAGGCGTTCTCTTTTAAGTCACTATTTTTAGTTGTTCGATCGCTAAAACGATTGGGCAGCATCTCATATTCCCGTAAAAATCCGTAATCTGTGTCCTTATGGCGGTTTTTATAGGCGTTCTCTAAATCTAGTCTGTGAATCGGACCGGCATCAAAACCTTTGTGATTTCCAGACGTAATAAAGTGACTGTGGTTGTTACTTCGGCGACCGAACAAAGCCCTGCTTAATAAAAATTTGAATATTAATCGAAACATTTAAAAATTGATTAACATTAAATAGTTACCTTAGAGAATCTCTCAATGTTAAAGTATCTTCTCCCTGTAATTCGTTTTTGGTTTTTTTGTGGTGGAAAACCCACAGCACAATAAGAACGAGTATAACACCAAAAAGTACGGCTCCCGCTTTGACGCCAATATTAAGGTAGTAGTCCATATTATTTAAGGATTGAATAGGTTCCGCTTCAGTAGCCGGAGTAATTATATCAAAATATTTGCTATATGCCATTAGCACATTATTTCTATCCCGAACTGTGAGAAATTTAAATTAATGGTTTATTTATTTAGAGCAGTTCAGTCACAACTTACCTATTATCTCTAGGAAACCAGTGTAATTGGAGTTAATATCTATCTGACCATCGTAAACATCTCGACTAGAATCATGGGGTGGCACATTTGGGTTGACGGAGCTTAGAATTGGATGCTCATCGCTAGTCGCCGCACTTCTTTTATCTCTCAACTTACTTTCTAAGATTTTAAGAGCAAGCTCTGTTAAATTTGCCCCTTTAATTAAGTTATCTTTTATCTCAGGCAAATGCGGTACCTCAGAGTCTGAATCTGCAAGAGAAAACCAGGTTAGTTACAAGGTCTACAAACATATAAAGTTAAGGTTTATTACTTGATAATGAACTTAATGGAGGTTTCTGGACGATCTCGGGTTTTCTGAGGAATGGAGTACCCTCCAAGCATTTGCGACAAATCTCGTCATTGTCCCTGATTATATCATTGTTTTCGCTGAATCTCTGTTCGTCGCCCAAAAATATTTCGGGCTTAAAGTACTTGCTACTAATCATTTCTGCAATATATGCACTACTTCTCGTGGCATTATCGCTGTGGACTTCCTGATATGTGGCGATATTCAGCTTATCCGGCTCCGGCAATTCCTTGTTGTCATTGTTGATCCTTACTAGATTTAATCTATAGCAGCATATGGGACCGTTCCGTTCGCTGATCTTGGGCAGATACAATTTCAGGACGTACTTAGAGCCAAGGTTAACTTTTGTCCACATGGTGCGACCAATGGTATCTGGTGTGGAGACGGGCATCAGACAACTTCCGGCGGCCGGTTCGCCGTTCTTCTTGTGACGCGTAATAGCCGATACCGTCACTGTGTAGTTTGTGTTCGGGCTAACACTTTCGTAGAGGGTCTTGTGATGGGGCTCGTCGATTCTTCGAATCTTGGGTCCCCACATCTCGCGGTCCACTGTGCTCATGGGGTTGCCCAGCAGGTGAATTAAATACGACACAACTTTGCCATTTGGAGTTTTGGGAACATCCCAGTTAATGGAGATCGAGTTACCCCTCGTTACGTTGTCATGATGGCAGTTGATGGTCAAGTTGGTGGGTTTCGTTGCTACGCCGTCCATGGTGGTGCCATTCACGTTCTCCGACCATGGACCGCAGGTCTTGGTTAAATCACTGCATGCCCTTACCCTAAATTCGTAGTCTGTGGCGGTTTTGAGTTTATCAAACATGTATGGCAAGTTTCGCGAATTCTGTTGGTAAATGGCCTCCTCAATCACTTTGGGCACCTCGCCCGATTCAGAGACAATCAGTTCGTAGTATTGGATGTAATCAATTAGATCCGGCGGAGGGGGATTCCAGCCGATTGTTATAGTGGATGCAGTGCTGCCGGTGGTCTCGACTTTCGGTATAAATATGGGATCAAAACTGAGCGTGGTGATGCCCTGGGCAAACTGCGTTGACTGGCTATTGCCAATCGAGTTCTTTCCCATAATTCTTAAAAAATATGTTGTGTTCGGTTTAAAATGGTCCAAAATATATGACGTATGGCTGCCGTTAATAATGTCCTTATAGTAGGAAAAAATAGGTGTGCCAGCCTCCTGTAGGGTGATGTAGAACTTCTCAATCGGATCGTTGCCGTCGTTGGCGGTCCAGTTTAGGTATATTTTGTTGGCACCCACAGCCTTGGCAAAATCAATGCTAACCTGTGGCACTTCCATCACGAAAAGAGTTATCTCTTTCGAGGTAATCTCAAGTGCGTTGTCGTCGAAGACTGTGCACTTGAAGGTTCCATTCTCCTTCTTGTACACCTCTGTAAATTCCAAGGTAAAATTCAAGTGCGTGTCGTTCAGCTTTGCAATGGAAGAAAAAGTGTCCAGGAACTCAAAATGACTGCCGTCTTTCAGCCACTTGAGATTTTTATTCGAAGTCTCATTTTGCGGAAACATCTCAATTAAACAATGCAGCACAACATCCTGTCCGATTTTTCTCTTTATCTTGTCGGGAGTACTTTGCAAGACTTTGGCTGGAAGGTATGGTTTAACCTGGAATTCAGTCGAATGGTTTTGGCCCGTTTGGGATGTGCAGGTGTAGTTTCCCGAGTCCTTTATATTAACGTGAAGAAGCGTTAGCACATTTTTATACTTGATGAAATCTTGGCTTTCGTTGGTTTCACTAACGTCATCGTTGGATTTCAAGGGATCAGTTCTGATTTTAAATCTACAATATAAAAAAAGGGGTTTAATAATAAAATATTCTTGCCAAATAAGTTTATGGATTTTTATTAATTATTTAAGTTTATGTAATTTACCTTGTATTGTTTGTGTCAATAGTTTGATTTCCCAATTTCCATACTACTGCTTCGTTTTCAGAGATGCACTCTAGAGACACATTTTTTCCTATTACTGCCCATTCTGTAAATAATTGTAATAAATTTTATTAAAATATATATCATGTAATAAAAAAAATAATTAAAAGGTCAATAAGAACAGATCGGGAAATAAATGCATCATTTCAATGGAAATTAATAAGGTGGTTTTGGGTGGTCAATGGTGGGCGGAAAGAGCCAGACATAAAAATAAAACTCCACCCAATTCTTCGCCCATTAAAATGCCGATAGCAAACCAATGTAATTCCGGAATCAACACGTATTTCATGGCACAAATATTACAAATAGATATATTTCAGATAAACTGGAATGCAAGTACATCGTCGAGATGAATGTTCGCACAGACATAACTATGTCTGTATGTATGTGCATCGGGAAGTGTGTACATATGCTCGACTACTTTGTTTAGCCCCCAATTGAAGTCTCACCCCATCGCCGTAATCTTTGGGCGTTACCGACATAGTTATTGAGCTACTGTATCAGATACCCCTTCACACTATAAGTTTTACAGCTGTGAATTGATAAAACCAGTACCGAAATATTCTTAAACGTTCATTCAAGATTGCAAAAACAAAAAAAATAACACTGCAATTTGTTGACACCCACAAAACAATATTGATGTACGTATGTATGTGTGTTGCATTTATGCTGTCCGCCTTAACTCGGTTTTAAAAATCCAGAAACTTATATTCGGGACTTTACCTTGTTTCACAGATCCCTGCACACATATCGCACAAAGGAGGATATATGCAAGGATTATATTTAATAGCATCGACCTGCGTCGGTAGAGTAACGCCATGGCTTGCTAATTTCTCACTCCGAGCCGGATAAATACATATGTCAAAAATTATATTCGATGTCTGGATTCCGTAAAAAAGGTCTTCTATCTTCAACTAATGACGCGGCGACTAAGAAACACCTTAAATTGTGTTTTTAAAAAAACCATTTAATAGATGGCAACCGCGAAGAAGTATTCATTAATCGTTATTTTCCTAATACTGGATTGTTTTTTTTTTTTTGCGATATGCGGCGTTATCGATAAGCCAGTAGAATATGTACCCTTACTCTATTAGTTTATTAATTTGAGACAGTGGAATTGACTATATATATATATACAAAAAAGGATATTAAGAATTTAACTTTAAATAAAAATGGCAAAAAGGAATAAAATGTAGATTCTTAAATTTAATAAAAATAATTTGTAAAAAGCTTTTTTTTTGATATTGTGGAGTAGATGTTATTGATATTTAAAAACATTTGACATGATAAACTATTTTTTGGTAATTCTTTATGTTACATAAAATTTTATTTTAAAAATTATTACACATAATTGATATATTTTTAATGTATTTATATATCCAAACTTTCTGTTTCAATTCCATTGTATATTCGATATATTTATCTGCATTAAATAAGGTTGCTATCTTAGCACACGATACTTCACCACAACCACCAAAATCCAAGTAAACTGCCGGCATTGTTTGTGCGCGTTTTTTTTTGCAGAAAAACACTTAAAAACAAATTAAAACATGAAATTAGTAAGGTAGGCTATATTTCAATTACTTATTGCTTTGATGTTTCTTTTGGAATCCTTGTGTTTATGTGTTTTACTCAGTTTTTTATTGTGCAAAATGTACACATGTACGCATGCAGAAGCGCTGCTACCAGTTGTTGTATTTGTACACAATGTTTACTGTAAGATTTAATTTCATATGAAAATAATTGGAATCTAAGAATAAAATATGCAATTAATATGTTGCATAGCTAGTTGTACTCTTCCAATATACTTTAAATTACATTAAGGTATTAATGGTATCATTGCGTAAGTTTCTTAACAACTTCAGAGAGGACCAGACATAAAAGATTCTTAAAGAAACCTTATTAATTTGTTTATAATTAAAAAAAAAATATTAATATGAGTTTTGAAAGCTACCTTAGGAGTAACCCTTTCCAAAGAAAATTATCTCGTACTGCCGCCCAATAAGATTCAGATTCTACACACAATGCATTGTTTTAATTGAAGTTCCTCACAAAGTCATCTGCCTTGCCTATATTAATATCTTGTTTTATATATTTTTTAGATTCCTGATGAAGTTAAGTCATGAGACTGTAACTATCGAACTGAAGAACGGCACCCAGATCCATGGCACTATTACCGGTGTGGATGTAGCCATGAACACCCATCTGAAGAGCGTTCGGATGACGATCAAGAACCGGGACCCCGTCCACCTGGAGACCCTGAGCATTCGCGGCAACAACATCAGATACTTCATACTGCCGGACAGCTTGCCGCTGGAGACGCTGCTTATAGACGACACCCCGAAGTCGAAGACAAAAAAGAAGGACAGCGGCCGAGTGGGAAATCGCGGCAGGGGCAGAGGCGCCCGTGGACGAGGCGGACCAAGGGGTCGCGGAAGGGGCCGAGCTTCAGGCCGACGTTAATTTTTGTAACAGCTACACCTAATAAACAATATTCGATAAATATAGAATATACACATTCTTTGGATAAATCTCCACTATGTTCTTTATGTACGACAACTTGAAAATATTGTTTACCTTTTAGTAAAGATACTCTTTTCGAATATACTGTGAAAATTCAATTTGTATAGTAGGTCATGAGGAGTGTGTCGAACAGATGTGGTTTTCTTTAGAAGTCTATGACTTATAATCGTTAAATAAAAGATTTAATGATGTGTACCTTGAATGGAAATAATTTTCATTTACAACTTATATCTTAATTGGCACATATTACAAGGCTAAGATTTTTAAGACTTATTTGAGATTTATCCAATTATGTTTTTAGTTGGTTGCGAAGTTGACCTTATAAAAATCCAACACAAACAGCAAAACTTTAACAATTAAAATAATTTTAATGAACTAAATGGAACCGATTTTATATCGAAAATCGATAACACGGAACTAGTTCCACTTTTTATCGCAGTAGGGGTGTGTGTATCTGCTAAATTTTGGCGCTTTCCGTTCATCGATTTTGAATCTCAAACCCTACAGCATTTAAGCTTAATTAAGAATTTCTGTTTGGCGGGACTTGTTACTACATAGTACTAATTTCGACAGCGACGTTATTTCATTATGCATTTCCAAGAGCCTTATTTTTAATAATTTACTTCAAATAGTTTTGTAATTATCGGCTTGTGGTAGAATGAAGTATCAAAATGCCTCAGATCGAATTTATTTTATACCTCAAAAGATTTCGAAATGTTAGCACTTGTTCAAGCCAAAAAAGCAATTCGTTTCTCTCTTTGATTCAGAAGTCGAGAGTCTCTGTTGAAATTCTTCTTATTTAAAAAAATTCGGCCATAAACTATAACATTTTATTTAAATTTTTAACATTTTTATACTGAGTAAACTGTTTTTTTTATGTTTTTTAGTGCATTTGTTGTCTGTAATCTTGAAAAATTACCTTTTTTTATCTTTTATTGAAAATTTTTAATCGGGTAATTTATGACTGGATTAAAGCATTTTCCATGATTAATTGTAATACACTCATACATTTTTAACCATTTCGTTTAAACTCCTTAAATATATTATTTGAATTTCTCTATTAAATACCTATTTACTGCTACATTCAAATCTCAGATTTGTATAATGTTAAGGTTAGATATGAAATTAAGTAAATCCATTTAAATTCATTTACTGAAATGCATTCATCCATTAAAAGGCGTGAAACATTTTATTGTACGTTAACACTCTCCACCAATAAGGGGTATTTAAATAAAGGGAAATTTCAGTCAACGTTTTTTTCTGGTTAAGATAGCTTAACATTGTTGAAGTTTAAAGTAAATAAACATGTAAATAAAAATAATTTTTTACACTTGTAATAATAACAAAATATATAAATATATCACCCTTTTTTGCATTTCCTTTGAACTGCCATTTGGACAGTTCATATTTTAATCTCTACTTTATTTCGAATTGCTCTTGCTATACGAAAAATGATTTCCTTGTAAAATAGGGTAGGTAAATGAAATATGTTGAATAAATAAATTCAGTTATTAAACTTGTTTTTTGAAGAACTTCTGGGTTGAATGTCAAGAGATTGCAATTTGAGTCTTAATTCTTAAAGATGTAAAACCCAATAAATCTAAAAGAAAATAATTCAGTCAACGACTGGATTTTAAAACTTACTTTAATAAAATACAAATAAAATTCAACAATTTAAACTATTTCCACAAACTGGCTTTAACTATGCATTTCTGATTTTTAAGTGAAGCACGAAAACTTGGAGCCATCTTTTGCGACTCAAAACTTTAGAATCATTCGATAAAGTTACAGAAAGCTATTAATTGTTGTACCTAATTAAAAAAAATAAAAATCAGATCTTCAAATTAGTACGCTATAAATGTTATCGTAAAATAAATTAATGGATATTTCCAAATACTTGGGAGTTGCATTTAGCTATGTAGTATGTTAAACCACATTGTGGCAGTTAAATAATGATGCTTCGGCATGAAACAAAGCCGAATCGTAATTTAGTGTCTGTATTTCCCCATGTGAAAGTTTGTATCGCCTCCTTGTCTTTTTTACTGCGTAAACCCGAGGTCCTTAGACTAAATGAGGCAGGCCAAACAGGTTCAGTGCAAATTCATTGATGAGCAAAACATGTTTCTCCAGAAGGAACCATCAATATCAATCGAAAATGCATGCCGCGGCCTGATCAAAATAAATTATAAAACAAAAAGGGCCGCGCTCCGTATAGGGTTTGCCATAAAATGAATCGCAAAATTAACAAGATAAGCATCTTCTTAAGATAGGAGAAATAAAATCCACTGGGTACAACCAAATTAATTTTGACATAATGTCAGACAAACAAATGTTTGCACTTAAGGAGACAGTGCCTTTGTTAAGTATCTTCCTCCTGCAAGTCCAACCTTAAGTGGAATGCGTTATAATATTTGTCTAGAATACAAACATGGAGTTCCGATTTGAGTGTCCAATACGCAAGCTGAAAAAATACATAACTGTGATAAAAAATTGTATTTACTTAGAATATTTCAAAATATTCGGACAGAGCATCTTCATCTTGACTATATTTATATTAAAGTGTTCTCGTTTTATTGTTGACTTGAATTATTGTACTTGTGTTTTCGTTTAAACTGCAAACTCTTTAAGATTATTTAAAAAATTCAATTACTTGGAAAATGTTCTCTTGCTTTTTACATTCTTGTATATATGAATTATTTGATTTCTTTTACTGGGTAGATTTTTCTAAGATTTCATTCATATCTTTTTTTACCGCATCCAATTTCCCACCCAACTGAACATTTTTTGTAGGGATTTCAAGCGGCCATTTTCAGCTACAAAAATGTACTGAAAAAATAATTTCACTTTAATCCAGAGTTATATGATGTTTTATATTCAGCAGAATAAAAATATAAACCGTAAATAACCAACACTTTTTAGTCACTTTTTTAAGAGACTTAATCTTATAATCTAAAACTTGGAAAAAAAATAAACCATTTTCAATAAAAGTTAAATCTAGGATTTTTAAGTATAACTAAATGTAACGAATTTTGCACAGGGTTTTGTTAATCCTAGAACCATGAATTTCCCACTGTCTGATGCTCCCCTCATTTCATATATATTACCCTGTGCTGACGGTGTTATTTTAAGCTGGTGTCATAACTCAATCGCAGGATAATTCGCAGCAGGGTATATCCATAGCGCATAGAATCGGAACGCACCCACCGATTCGCTATAAGTCGATGCTCTGGCACACGAACTGAGAAGTGAGTTGAGTGAGAAGTTGAATCGAAACCGGCTTTATTAAGGTAAACAAGGACCAACGCTCGCTGTTTATGTTTGTCTTTGCCTCACTGTCAGTGCAGTGAGTACTGACTTTGACACGTTTTCTGACTTAATTTTAGTTTATTGCTTTTTATGTGAGCGTTGTGGGATTGCTGGATGGTTGGTTCTGTGGACTGCGGACTGTGTGCACTGCGTATCTAGCAGGACGTCAACCGAGCCAAACCAAGTGACACGTGTTGCGGATGAGGACCATCCGCCGAAATGCACAGCGTCTAAATGCTGTGTAACTTTTCTGAGTCCTCGGTTGACTTTTCCGGGTGGCCATTTCTCGGTCGGCCTAGATCTTTGAACGTAACATTGAGTCAGCCTCCGTTCGATTTTCGAAAGGGGGTGCAAACTCCCCAGTGAACTCCACGGTTTGTTTACCATTCTCACGCATGTGACTTCCAAATGACGGATTGAAGTAGGCAAATATTTGTGAAAGAGCCGTGGTTCCCGGTGCCCTTATTAGATAACGATGATTACAGCCAGTTCGCGCACGCGTTCGACTATTGCCATTGCCATTGCCTATTGCTCGGCGATAATGTTAATTATTTCTGTAATATATTCATGGATTTGTTTTTAACTCGAACAGAGACATTTCGACGCAGCACGTGGCGCGTTTTAACATTGCGATAAGGTGGAATACAAATAAAAACGATACTAAGTTGATAACTTCACCAAAGTTGCTTTCTTGTTTAAACTACCCTTCGTGGGGGTGATAGCTCAATAAGGAAGCTTTAATTAAATCATGAAGTGGACAAATTCCTAATTAATTAAATATTGTTTTTTAAAGTGTCTTTATACTGCAGGTTAATGTTTATTTTATTTTAAAATTAGTAGATGAATAATATTTATGTAATAACTTATTATGTGTTAAACACTTAGAGAGAGAACCAAAAAAATGACCTATAATGTAAATCCATTGAGCTTCAACTTTAGAATAGCTTTTTTTTTGTATAGACGGACTTTTTTTTCTGTGAACAATTTAAAGTTTTTTTCCTATATTATAATAAAGAACTTTTCTTCATTTAATAATGGTTTTAAATGTATTGTAACACTTGACCATAAAAACTCTACAATTAGATTTATTCACTTTATAATTTTTGTATTAAACGGGATTTGTTATGTTAACACTTCTGTTTTTCATAAGTATGAGCAAACAAGTTTCTTAATTAATTTCGACTTATTTTGGTTATTATTCCATATTTTACACATCAAACGTACAAGCAGAATATGTAAATACGAGGGCAAATACAGAGCTGACGAGGACTCTCCAGAGCTTGTGGCAACAGACAGGTTTCATTAAATTAATTAGCGTTCCTTTCGCAAATACTGCCAGCTGCAGGGAAACTCACTCGGCCGTCCGACCATCGTCCATCCCGAGTTTTGAATACGGAACGCTGCGACACGGTATACGGTAGCCACTTGATTTCACGGCGCTCTCAGACGGAAAATTATGTTTTCAGTTAAAACTCAAGACTTATGTAAACACTCGTCCAAGCTCGGGTTGAACGCTATTTCAGTTTAATGAATATTTGTGCCCGTGACTGCTGGCAAATAAACATATACGGCTAGTTTATCAGATGCTGTATATTTCTTTTTGATCCTACACATGTCATTTAGGGGATTTTAAATTTTAATTATTTATATTTTGATTTGGCTTAAGAAATTAAAAAATAATATATGGTTAATAGAAAAGTCT